AAATTAACTATTCTATATTTTAGTTTATAATATAAAATAAATATAAAATAAAATTTGAAATTGTACCTCTAGTAACAAGATACAACATGATGCTTGAGAAAAAAATATAAAAAACAATCAGTTTAAAAGAGAAACAAGGCAAATGTTCTCCCTATCACCCTTATTAGGATATGTTGCCAAAGTAATAAAATACATACAGATATGCACTGAGAAATACACTCACACACAAGCATACAACTAAGACAAATGGCAAATTGAATAAAATAAAAATAACAGGTTTGATTGTGAGTTTGAAAAAGAAAGGGGTTCTGCAAAATGGTCAAGAGCCTTTTAAGTTAGACACATCCAGGTTCCAGTTCTGGCTTCAGCAATTAATAACCACGTGTCTTTAACTTCCCCAAGCCTCAATTTCCTTATTTGTAAAATGAGTATAGACAAGCCGCCTCCCAAGATTGTTGTGAGCATTAAGAGAAGTATCATCAAGTGCTCAGCATGATATCTGGCATGTAGTAATCACTCTAGTAATAATAATCACACTGATAAATCACTGCAGTAATCACTCTACCATTTGTTAACAAATTTATTATGCAAGAAACATGTATGACACCAAGCAGCATTCACTTATGCCACAAATTGTCAGCTAGAAAATCTAATACAAAAAGAGTCTTAAACAAAAATATAAGCTACAAAGAATGTGCTCCAGTAAGAGATATGGAAGATACATACAAAGAATCTTAAGTCTTTTAGAGGAGAAAGAAAGAAATATGTAAACTAACAGAGAGACAAACCATGTGCCTGAATGAGAACTGTTTGCAAAGTAAGTACTTTAAAGGTCTATAAACTGTAAAGCAAACAAAACTTGGACAGTTCTCCCAGATTCAATGTGTAGGTTTACAGCAATCACAATGTTATACAAAATGGTATAAATTTCAAATGGGAATGGAGGCCCACAGAGGTTGAGGAACACATTTAAGGAATCTGTTAGTTGGTGTCTGGACTAGGACATGAGCGCAAATCTTCTGACTTGCCCAGTTGCTCTGTCTGTTATTTTGCACTGAATCTCCTCATCTAGAATATTAATGAATAGCCTGAAAAAGAAGAGCAATGAGGAAGAACTAACCCCATTGCACACTAAAACATATTATAAGGCAGCAGTAATTAAAATGGTGTGGTACTGATCTGAATAAAACACAATCAGGAGCCCAGAAATAGTTTTTGATGTGTGTATAAAAAAGAATGCAACATATGACTAAGCCACAAGAGAAATATAAACACTATTAAAATATTATTGAGGTAACAGAATCTTAAATCTTAAAATACATATGTATTAAAATAAATTTCAGAGGTATTAGCAAAATAAATATAAATAAACTATAAACTACTAAAAAATAGACCTGTTATTACAACTGGGGAGAAGTAGTATTTGTATAATGATTGAAATAATAGAAAACTTCTCAAAGGGAAAGATAGGCAAACATGATTATATAAAATCTTTACAATTCCTCTAAAACAACACAAAACTTATTAAAAAGCAAAAAAAAAAAAAAAAGATTGAATAAAAATATATTAAAATACAGCCCCCAAAAGAAATAAAGCCAGTTAAGGGCTAATATTTATAATGTATCAAGTTTACATATATTACCAACAAAAAACAAACAAATCAATGAAAAACCCCAGATCCAAATGGATACACAGGCAAAGAAGGAGAACTTAACTCATCCAATAAGAAAATAAAGTGAATATTTTAACATTTTAACTTTGAGCTTCCTAGCAAATTAATTGAAATAATAATGAAATTTCATACTACTAATAAAGTTATAACAATAATTATTGCTTATTCTAACTATAGTCTGAATAATAAGGAGCAAATGCAAACGCCAGTGCTGGTAATGCCTAAGAGAAAGATGTCCATTCAGTCTTTGTCAGTAGCATTATTCATTGTAAGTAATTTGGGAAATGCAAATGCATCTACTCTCTAATCTTGTGAGTCTCAAGTCTGAACATTTATCTCAAGGGAATAATTTAAAGGAAGAAAGAAAAAAACCAGTCCATAATTGTTTATCCTAGCATTGTTAATCATAGTTCAAAGAACAATAGATATGTCAATACAAAAGGAATTATGTACCCATCAACTGAGAAGTTACCAAGTATAAAATAACAAGAAAAAAGAAGCCGTATTTATTCATCAAATCAATTGAAAACATTATAAATATGGGCAAATATTACAAAGAAGAAAAATTGTTAGTTTTTCAGAATGTATGAGGTTGTGCATGAAATTTTTTAAAGTAAATTTTTTCTAGTGTTTTACATAATTTTTTTCTAGTACTTTAGTAAATTTAAAATTATAAGTAAAGAAGTATACACTGCATTTTCAAAAGATTCCTCTAAAGGTGGTTAATTTATTTAAAACATTTAACCCTTGGGAAAAAATACTGTTAAAAATTTTATTTCTAGGAACCTTCTTGTTAATGCTGAATAAATAGTAGGTTTAAGTTACTATAATGCAGACCAGGGGCTTCCACCATTGTTAGTGACATCCTGGACACATTTACACAAGAATCCATAAACAGAGGTAGGGCTCTTATTCCGAGACTGGCCACCAGCAACTTGAAGCAGGCAAGGATTTTCACACGGCCTCTGTGAGGCCTGGGTCCCTGGAGGTACCCTGGGGCCACAGTCTCAGAAGATACAGGATCTAAGCGCGCCTATCCCCTTCCACCAGAGGAGCCCCACTTGCGTCTCCCCCCAACTGGCCTTCTACAGATTAGCTTGTCTGAAATGCTGTGCAGCTAAAAAAAAGTTGTAAAACTGTCCGTGGGATGGCCGAACCATGAGGTATGGAGTCAGGAGATCCTTGGGCCTCAGTTTCCTCAACCATAAGAACAAGAATAGCTCTTAGCTGACTGTGAAGATTACACAAAATCAGAGGTGCAAAATAGTTTATGCTGTGGAAAATGCTATGGGAAATTTATTTATTGAGATTGGATTAAAAGGAGCGGGTGACATGGATGAACCTTGAAGATGTTTTGCTAAGTGAAATGAGCTCGACACAAAAGGATGGATACTGTATGGTTCCATTTCTAGGAGAGATCTAGAAGAGTCAAATACATAGAGACAGAAAGTAGAAGGTGACCCCAGGGGCTGGGAGGGAGGGAATAAGGAGTTAGTTATTGTTTTAATAAGTATGGTGTTGCAGTTTGGGATGATGAAAAAATCCTAGAAATAGATAGTGGTGATGGTTACACAATATAAATGTACTTACTGCCACTGAAGTGTACATTTAAAGATGGTGAAAATGGCAAGGTGAATGTTGTATATATTTACTGCAATAAAAAATAGTCCCCCACCCCCCTCTAAAAAAGTGAGTAGTACATCGAATAAAATATAAAAGAAAGTCAAGAAAGGAGAAAGACCACAGAGCTGGTGGGACTAACCCACTGCTTTAAGGAACAGGTACCCTCTGATTCAGAGAGGAGGGCCGCAGCCCAGCAGGAGGGAGATGCCGTGGGGACAGAGGCACAGAGGTGAGAGGGTGAGCGGCCACAGGGAAGAGGCTCTGGGAAGACGGAAGAGGCTCTGGGAAGATGGAAGAGCCGGGAGCCTGGCCTGTTGGAAACACTCATTCTTCTCCACTCGCCCATGCCTCTTTGCCCACCTCATGGCACTATGGTTACAGTTATAGATTATTTTCATGTACCTACCTCAATGCTCCTGCCACATATTTTTTTAAATGTTTCTTTTGAGACTCTGTACTCCAGAGTGAGACCCTGTAGTACAGTGGCAGGATCACAGTTCACTGCAGCCTCGACCTCTTGGGCTCAAGTGATCCTCCCACCGCAGCCTCCTGAGTAGCTGGGACTACAGGTGTGTGTTGCCATGCCTGGCTAATTTTTGTATTTTTTTGTAGAGTTGGGGCTTCACCAAGCTGCCCAGGCTGGTCTTGAAGTCCTCAGATCAAGCAAGCCACCTGCCTCCCAAAGTCCTGAGATTACAGCCTCGCCCAGCCCCCTGTCACATGTCATACAATTTCGTTCATTTATTCAATAAATCCCTATGCAGGCCCTAGTAGTGACAGGCATTGTTGTAAGCAGTAGACACACACACACACACTCGCTCCTGCCCTTGGCGGCTTCTTCTCTAGGAAGATAATAGCTGACACCTAGATAACACTTGTCATGTACCAGATACTGTTTTAAGTACTTTACAAATATTAGCTGCTTTAACCTTCATAATCACCTAAGAAGGCAAGAACTGTTCTTAGCCCAGTTTTACATGCAGCGGGGATCAAGCCCAAGGTGGTTGAGTAGCTTGCCCAGGTCACGTGGCTGAGTGGTGGCAGGGCTTACAGTTCCAACTGGCTGTGGGACACACACATGCTGGAGAATGGGGCTGAGAAAGGGTGCTGGGGGCACTGGGAGCAGGGCTGGATCTGCCAGCCAGATTTAGGGGGCTCAGAACCGTACTGAGAACATCAGCAGAGGTGAGTGCAGAGAGGGAGGCAGGGCATGGGCTGAAGCCTCATTTTCAGAAGACGGTTCTAGCAGGAGGTGGGTGGGGAACTGGAGGCTCGGAAGAAGGGGCCTGCAGCCTACACAGCCAGGCAGGGCTGGGATATGGATTTTGTGGTGACAGCAGATTAGAAAGCAAGAGATGGCCGTGATGCCTCGAGAAGAGGAATTCCTTGATTTGGGCAGCTTCCTGGGTGTACAAGGAAAAGGAAATGCCAAAAGTACAGGCTTGGGGCACCCTCTCAGGCCCACCAGATAGATGCCAGCAAGGCTTAGGGAGGGCTGGCAGTGTCCACTGAGGCCTGGAGGGTGGTTGGAAGGAGGCAGGTTTGGAGGTGCTGAGTGGGCAGGAGATAATCGGATTCATCCATTCACCTGCAAATGTTTCCCGAGGAAGACACAAGAAGACTTGTGTTCACACATTTATCTTCCTGATCTGGGAGAGACAAATCCAGCTCTGGCTGAGGGAGCATCTGCCCCGAACCCACTTACCTTTTTCCTGCTCGGCTGCTTCACTAAGGTCTGGAAGCTTGAGGCCCACTAAGTTCTGATTTCTCATCAGGATGTGCTCCTTAGTGGTAAAAGAGAGAGACATTTCAGATGATGGCACTGGGCTGTTCTCTGGGCTCTCTCTATGGTTCTGCGATCACTCTGTCTTAGGTGGGAAAGCAGGGGCAGCCTGGGAGGTAGGTGGGCAGGCATGGCATGGTGAGGGCTGAGAGCACCGGGAAACAGTTCCTCTTCCAGTCTGTGAAGGTGCCCGAAACTCCACTGTCAGCACCACATTCCATGGGTCGGGAATTACCCTTGGCATGGTCTCCTTTGCAAACAGGTTTGTGGGCTTCAGGGTAAATGAATGGCTTGGCCTCACTGTGGCTGAGGTTTGTAGGGGACACACAGGAGCAGAACCAAGGGCTCTGGAACAGGAGGGTCCCTGGGTGTGTATGGTGCTGCTCCTGGAAACAGCTCTGGTGATCTCATAGCTGGCTGGACCTTCCTGCCCTGTCATTCCGGGCAGGGAGTGCTCACTTCCAGGAGCTGCAATTTCCCTGCACACTCAGGTCCTCAATGGCCTTTTCTGGCACCTCTTGAGTTTTTAAACTCTCCAGAAAAGTGAGGCCTGAGAATTGCTGCTTTGGGGCCTCAGCTGGCAGAGTCCAGGGAGAGATGAGATGCTGACCACAGGTATGTGGCCCAAGTGGGCTCACACCTGCTCTTAGCCAATTAGCACCAGAACAAGGCTTCTGAGTGGAAGCACCTGGCAGAGCTCTTAGTCCTTGTAACTTATGGATCTCCAGTCTCTTGTGTAGTAGAGGGCACTTGAGTGGTTTTTACCCCACACCACCCCTTCCCTGAGACAGGGGAAAAGGAAGGGGCCAGCAGAGGGTGCTCATTATCCAAGTGGAAGTCATGGTCAAGGGCCCTTTACCCATCTGCTTAGCAAGCCACAGGCCCTCAGCCCATCAGCCTCAGCACACTAGAGTTGGGTAGGGGCTGAGCGCTCAGCTGCCAGGGTACTAGGAGTGACGTGGGGCCTCCAGGTTCCCTGTAACTTCTCTGGGTGAGCAAAACCTGCGGGAGAGTAGGGATGCCCTTGGTCATATCCCACATAGGGTGGCAGCCCCATGGGTGACCACTGTGTCTGGTTTGATGGCCAATAGCAGCTGGGGGGACACCATGGGCACTGGAAGAAACTCACCATGGCAGGAGCAGCCGTCACACTTGCAGATGGACTTAAAGCCTTTGTTATCAGGCATCAGGAAGGACATCTTGGGGGCATCACAAAGGAAAACACTATTTCATCCTTTCTAGCTAGTCCTAGGCACAACTGGGCACTCCATCAAGGGTTCCTTTTATGAGCCACCCACTCCAGGTAGCAGAGGAAAACAGCCCAGGACTGAGGGGCCCACGTGTCCCTCGACACGTCCGCCTTCCCCTGAGGTGTGGCTTTGTGGCAACTAGATTCCAGACTGAACTGTCTGGTAACTGGCATAAAAAGCACCTAAAACTGGTGCTTAGGAAAGAGATGCCACGTAAGTAGGCCTGACTTCTCTGTGCAAAAATGTGCACCCCACAGGGCCCAAGTCCAGGCTGGAGCTGGCCTAGCCAGAGGCCCAGACTCAGCCCAGAAGTCTTCAGCCCAAGGGGTACCTGGAGTGTACACTGCCCAGCTGCCCCCAGGAACCCACCTCTCGGAGTTTGGTCAGTTTCTGCATCCGCACGGGCTGCACTTGTATCTGAAAGTCTTTGAGTCCAGGGGCCTTGGCCAGCTTGCCGCCGGCTTTGCCTGCAAAACGCTTTTCTTCCTCTGCCAGTGGCAGCTTGGCAAGCACTTTCTGCAGCCGGGGGCCAGGTTCTTCAGGGCCACTGTCCCAGGAGACCCCTCGCAGCAGCGGGGGCCGGGACACAGTGGGTGGGAGCTCAGGTTTGGAGCCAGCCTTGGGACCCATTGGCTCTCCAGCAGGGCCTCTCCCCTGGGGGTCTGGGGGAGCTACTCCTCCTGCATCCTGGGTTGGACTTCTCGGTAGAGGGCTGTCCTCCCAGGCCGTCTTCGAGAGCTGCTTCCCCAGCTCACTCTCCACGGGGCCAGGCTGAGGGCTATTCAGGGCCATTTTCCCACTGCTGTTTGTGACCGGAGCTAGGCCTTTGGGTGTGGTCTCGGGGTACTGGAGGGGATCAAAGTTTTCCTTTTGTTCTATTGCAATCTCTTTGAGCTTCTCAACTGGAGGAGGACGAGGAGACAGCCTACCCTGAGACACTTTCCTCTGGTCATTCTGCTTCCTGTCAGCTAGCCCTTTGGGGACATTCTGAAAAAGACAAGGTAGAGATGGAACCCTGGGGGCAAGTTGAGGGGAAACAGGTGGGGCCCCTTCTGCTGTGGAGCCTCTGCCTCCACACACCTTGCGAGGGGCCCATTTGTATACGTGTATATGGGTTATGTGTGGACCACATGGAAGGGGAGGGCTTCTGCCTCAGGTTTGTAAAACAGAGAGGAAAATGGGACCTGCAATTCAAAACCAGCCAAGAACTTCCCAAGGGATAGGAGCTGAGGAAACTTGAAGAGAAGGCAGCTTTGGCCCTAACTCCGTTGCCCCAGATCTAGCCTTGGCGCCCTTAACGCTTAGGGACCCAGGTTTGTGAACCCTCTGAAATTATAAGCTAATGTATGTGTGTGTGTGTGTGTGTGTGTGTGTGCGTGTGTGTGTGTGTGTGTGTGTGTAGGGATATTTTTCTAGGAAGAGTATCTACAGCTTTCAACATTTTCTGAGTTCCATGATCCAAAGAAGTTAAGGATCATTGGACGGGGTGATGCTTGCAAAGGGGATGTCTTCCTGCTCAGAAGCTCTAAGATTCAGCAGTGTTAGTTTACTTTGTTCATTCCCCACGGGAAACCTGGGCTGTGAGCAGCACGTGGGTCTGGGGGGTCTGTGTGCTGCCTCGTGTGTGCTGAGACTCTTCCAGAGGACTGTAGCCCAGACCCAGCTCCAGGTGAGACTAAATTCTACTGTTGCCCTTGAAACACTGAGCACGTGGGCCCCTCGCTGTGAGTAGGCTGGGGCACTTCTGTTGCTCATCAACAAAGGTGAGGATTTCCCGGCTTCCCTAGGCAGAATCCCAGGCAGGGGCCGGAGCTGCCCTTTTCACTGTAGCTGACAGGAGCCACAGTCTCACTTGGCCTAAAAGGCCCCCTTGTCTCCTACCAACAGCCTGACTAGGGGTCAGCTCTGTGAGCATTGCCTCCATGGAGGTCACCACCTGAGTCTGTCTCCCTACCCCTCCACCTGAGGCCTCTAGTCACTGTAGGGCAGGAGAATCTGCTGTTTGCCCAGCCCTGACCCTCCACTCATACATGTGCATGCACATACACTTGAAGGCTGTCCAGGGGCCAGCCTAGGCTTCTTGGAGACTCTACCCCCACACTCAAATCATCCAAAGGGAGCAAAGCTCAAACTCACAGGCTCGCCATGGTGAGGTGAAGAGACGTCGGCCTCATCCCCCTTCTGCTGGAGAAGGTGAACATGAGTCAGTCAGCAATGGGAAAAGACCATGTTTCCTCTTGAAATACCCCCAAGGAGGCCCCTAGCAGTGGTGTGCATGCCCTCCACCCAGCACCCTCATCTCCAGTGGGTCATGAAGGGCCTCCTGGTGTTCAGCGTAAGGGGAGAGACCTATTGGCACAGAAACAACACAGCGGGTGGGGTCCTGTCACCTGTGGTGGCGGTCCAGGCAGAGGGGACAGCAGGCCACTGCACACATCCAAACCTGGAAGGGTCCAGACACCAGTGAGTGAGGCCCAGCAGCCCAGACCCTCAGCCTTGCTCTCAGCCACATCTCCCTCCCCAGAGTCTCCTCCCTTCGCAATCTCACGCCTGGAAGATTTTCTGACTGCCTCCCATGTACCAGGTTCTCGGATGGGCCCTCACTGAATGTTCAGAGACCACAGGAGGAAACTGAGGCACAGGGAAATCAAAGTCTCATGGCTGGGAAATGTCAGCACTGGGATTTGAGCCCCGGCTGCCTGACCCCAACCTGAGTGTGCTTCACAGCCCTGATGAGGGTCGGCTGCCCTTCCTGGCACGCTCCCCCTTCCCTTTTTGGCCAGAGGGTGTGGATTTGGACACAGCCTAATGAAAGGGAAGAAGTCAGACCCCAAAGAGGCCTTTCCGGATAAGCTGTTGAGGACTTCCCTGAGCCTCCCTGAGCAAGAGAGGCTGTCCTAGTCCCCTTCCCCATCCAGCCTTCTTGACCCTGGGCTATACCTGCCTCCCAGCATGAGCCCAAGATGCCAACAAGAAGTCTATCTGCTTCCTCTGGGTGGCTCAGAAAATGCCCCTGGAAAGGGGTCTTGCTGTGGGTGTGAAGGGGCCAAACAGGGATCTCGAAGGGGAAACCTGCAGGCTGGGAGGCACGATGGTCAGTTCAGGCTGAGCTGCCACCCAGAGCGAGAGGCAGGGAAGGAAGTTCCCGGGCAGCTGCGCCTTACCTGGCGGGGTGGGGACTGTCAGCGAGTTGCTCCGGGAGGGTGTAGGAGAAGCGCTGGGGCTGAGGTTCGGGGAAATAGCTGTGGAGATGACACAAATTGGCTGGCACTCGTGAAAGGATAGGACTTCAGCCTGGCAAAGACATCCTTCTAGGTCTTCCCCACCCCTGGGAACTGGGTCTGCCTTGCTGGACTCAGGGCTGATGCTGGACTGCCATATGAGGCTCTTACTACAGCCCAGCCCCTCCCTGCTGCTGTTCAAGAGAGGGGGGCCCTCAGGCCATTTAGGGGATCGAGGATAGAGTCACACTCCTCAGCCTGCCCGGCCTGACCTCAAGGCACTGTCCAGAAACTGAGCCCTGGTGTGGGTTGGCAGGTACCACTCTAGAGGCTGTTCCTTCTAGACTTCCCAGGGTGGCCGTGACTTCAAAAGCTCTCCTTGTCCTCTTAAGTCCACTTACACTTGCCTGACTTTTTGCTCAGGAAGAAAGGTGACTCTAGCAGAGAGGAAGCAGGATTTCTGGGCCCAGGAAAACCTTCCCTTTAACCCAGAAATTCCCCAAGATCATCTTCCCTTCCCCAGAGGGCCTAGAATCCTTCCCAGTGCCCACAGTTAGAGATCAGGGAAAGGAAGCCCAGGTCGGAATCCCAGCCTCTGCTGAGGAGAGCAGGTGAGTCAAAGGTCCCACCCTACAGGGGTTCAGGGCAGCCACCTGTACATCCTGGCCCACCCTACCTGACGGGGAGTCTCCGGGGCTGCTCCTGGACTTCCTCCCACGGCGGGTCAGGAATCGCTCACTCACCAACTTGGCTTCTTCTAGCAGCGCCAGGTTTTTCTTCTTGTCCTCCTCTGAGATGCTGATGTCTGGCAGCTGGTCATTCACGAGGTCAATGATGTGCCCCGCAGGGTCTGCAGAAGGAGGGTGACCCGGGGTGAGAGCCACCACATCCGTGGCCCCAGGCTGAGGCCCTGCCATGCCACACCTCATCCCAGGGACACTGCCTACAGTTGACCCAGCCAGCCAAACCTCAGCCCAGTGCCACCAAGAGGGTTGCATGGAGACAGATAGTGGCTTCCTCTGCAGGCCTGGCCCCTCTGGCTTATGGCCTATGGTCCTGGGTCACAAATGGTCCTGGAGCCATCTCAGGCTCCCAGAATTTCCCTAAACTCTGTCAGAAAGGGAAGGCCACCCAGGAGCCACACCTCCGGTGCTGTCTGTGCCCCTAGTACATTCTTGCTTCTGGTCTATTTCTTTCACAAGCTAGTGGGCTTAATTAAGTTTTGTGAATAAAGGAGTGAAACCAAAGATCATCAGCCACAGCCACAATCCCGTGGGCCACCTTCCCTCCACTCATATTGTTCACCCCATTTTTCTCCAAAACTCTTGGACCTCTTAGGTGGCAGACATAATTATCCAGGTAAGAGCTAATGAGCACTAGAAAGGCTGAGGCAGGAGAATCACTTGAACCTGGGAGGCAGAGGTTGCAGTGAGCTGGGATTGCACCACTGTACTCCAGCTTGGGCAACAGAGTTAGACTCTGTCCACCCCCGCTTTCCCCAAAAAGAGCTAATGATCAAGAAGGGAGATGAGGAACAAGCTCCAGAGGTGTTTATAGAGGTCCATGGAATGGGACAATTGCTAATAACCCTCTTTGAGTTGCTGGATTCAGCACTGCCTGAAATTACAAGCCCTGGCCTTTATAAATTTTTTTTCTTTGGTGTGAGGTAGTTTGAGTTGGGGTTCTAACATTTGAAAAAGTCCCAATTGGTGCACATGGTAGAGTTCCAGTTGCCAGACATGCTTTATGGAGGCTCCTCCTCCTTCACTATGTTTCCTACTCCCCCTGGAATGCCTTTCCTCCCTCGCCTATCTGCCCAGCTCCTAAGACAGAACTCAAATGCCATCTCCTCTGTAATACCTTCCCAAAACTTGCCCTCCCCAGAGGGACTCAGTCCTCTTCTTGCCTTGGCTGGCCTAGCTCTTCTGTGCAGGTCCTTATGATACAATGTCCTGACTGTCTGTTCATTTCTCAGTCTCTTCATAGTCTATGAGCAGCTTGAAGGCAGGGACCAACTCTGTACGAGATCTATGTTCCAACAGCCCAGGGCAGGTCGTGAGCCACCATCTGGGGATGAGCAGATGACCAGGGCCGCTGGACTTACACTCAGCCACCCACTCCAGCCAGGATGAGGGCCTCTCTAGCTAGCAGAGGCTGGAAGTCTGCCCCCTAAACCCCAGAAATGAGCTTCACTCAGCTGTTCTTTCTTTGACTTCTGTATCTTCCTCTTCATGCCCTGGTCTTGTCTTTTGAGCAAAAGAAATTGAAAGTAGATATACTTCTTCTGGACCCAGACACAGAGGGGCTGATCTACTCCACCCTGCTGGGCTTATTGGGAGGGACCGCCTTGAAGAGCAGGAGAGAGTAAGGGGTCAAGCCCAGCCACGGTGCCAGACCTCAGTCTTTCTACTCAAACGTGCTTTAGTTTGGCCTGGTCCTTACCCACAGATGTCAGGGAGGCAGTGGAAACCTTCAAGTGTCGGTGAGAAAGCCTCTTGTGGGGACTGTGAACTCTGAAAGACAGAACAGTCATCTTGTTCAGAAAATCAATCCATGACTTGAAAATAGGCAAAAAGATGCCTGTATATTCTTTCTTTTTTCTTTTCATTTCTTTGTTTTGTTGTGTTTTCTTTTGTTTTTTTGAGACTGAGTTTCACTCTGTTGCCCAGGCTGGAGTGCACAATCTCCGCTAACTGTAGCCTCTGCCTCCTGGGATCAAGTGATTCTCCTGCCTCAGCCTCCTGAGTATTTGGGACTACAGATGTGCGCCAGCACACCGGGCTAATTTTTGTATTTTTAGTAGAGATGGGGTTTCACCATGTTGGCCAGGCTGGTCTCGAACTCCTGACCTCAGATCCTCCCACCTCGGCCTCCCAAAGTGCTGGGATTACAGGCATAAGCCACTGTGCCCAGCTAGATGTCTGTATATTCTTTCCAAGTCACCCTAGAACATCATCTTACAAGCTCCTCGAGGGTTTCTCTGACTGTCAACTTGGGAATGTCTTGGAAATGCAAATTATCAGGCCCGCACTCAGATCAGAAATTCTGGAGGCGGGCCCAGCCAGCTGTGATTTTACAGCTCTCCAGGTGATTCTGATGTGTGCGAAAGTTTTCCAACCAGGGCCCTGAGAGGATGTGACTTTGACTTACTATTTCCTACTCATTAGGTCCCAGACTCTGAGCTAACAACGAACTTGTAAAAACCTCATAAAATGTAAATCATTGTTGTCGACAGAGATGCAGATGGTTTCTGTTTGTGAGAAAAGAAAAAAATACGGTTTCATTGCCTTGTAGAACATTCACCTATTTTATATCTAACTTAGCAGTTTTAGTCCAGCACTTTCCTCCCCACTCATGATTTATGTATATCCATGTCTTGTATCCTCCTTGGAACCATCTTTGTCATCAGGATACTTCTCCTATTAATGAGGTAAGTAAATCTTTGACATATGCTTAGAATATATTTATATGAGAATTCTCCCTTTAACTTTTTGAAAATTATGCTTAGACAACCTCATTCTAGCAAGCCCAGTTCTGTGTGAAACCAAGGCAGAGACATTCCTGTACCTGTGAGCCTATGTCCCTGCCAAGAGGTCACATTCCACACGCTTTGGTCAGGGGCAGGATTCTACATTCAGATACTCACACCTTTCATGTTTGGGTGCAAATAGCTGGGCAGTTATTATGGGAAACTCCCCTGCTATGATTTATGTTTTTCTTAAAGGCTAGCACTTTCCATAGCGGTGGGTTGGGGGGGGTGGGCAAGTTCTTCTGGGGCCCCTGGGCATTAACATTTTAACCTCCACAAGCCCTGCTGGGTTCAATGGGCTGGACCCCTCCCAGAGCCAAAAGGGCCACATCCAGGAAAGGAAAAATCACTTTAGGAGGAAGGTAATGGAAAAATTCCAAGCTCTTGATCCTATTTTTAAAAACTGCTTGGCTATAGTTTAGTCAATAAAATGATATAAGAAGAAAAGATTTATTTAAAAATATAGCTATCTGAGCCTCATGTTCTAGGAAATATTGTTCGTCACAACACAAGGATCAGGCACCTGTACCTGTTGGCCAGGTTTTTGTCCGTTTCTCCTTCTGGTGAAGTGGCATCCCCAGTCAGGACAATCGTGGGGGTTGGACTGCAAGATATTCCTGCGGTAGGAGGATCCTGCGGTTTAGAACAGAAGCACAGAGTTAAGCTTGGGCTGGCGGGAGCTTCCAGGGGCTGGAGCCAGGGCATTTATTCTCACATCATGCTGCTCAGAGCCATCTTGATAAGGCGACAAATGCAGCTTACTTTTTATTTCCCCAGCTCTATTGAGGTATAGTTGACAAATAAAAATTCTATATATTTAAGGCATACAACATGATGTTTTCATTACCTTGATACAATGTTTTGATACAATATGATATATTTAAGGCAGACCGTGTGATGTTTTGATGTGAAATGATTACCACTGTCAGGCTAACTAATATATCCACCAACTCACATAGTTACCTTTGTGTATGGTGGACAATACTTAGCAAATTCCAAGTACACAATACATTATTAACTCTAGTCATCATGCTGTCCATTAGATCCCCAGAACTTATTCACCTCATAACGGAAATAGTAAGCTGAATCCTTTGATCAACATCTCTCCATTTCCCCCACCCCCAGTCACTGGCAACCACCATTCTATTCTCTGTTTCTGCGAGTTTGAACTATTCAGATTCAGAAGTGAGATTATGCAATATTGTCTTTCTGTGCTTGGTTTATTTCACTTTAGCATAATGTCCTCCAGGTTCACCCATGTTGTTGCAGATAGTAGGATTTCCTTCTTTTTAAGGCTGAATATTAGTGTGTGTGTGTGTGTGTGTGTGTATAGGTGTACATAATATTCTATCATGTATGTATTTTTCACATTTTTTAATTCATCTATTGACAGACATTTACATTGATTCCATACCTTGTCTCTTGTGACTAGTGTGCAAATATAGTTTATTTGGATTACTCAAAACAAAAAAGACAGGTAGGTTCTCCTTTACTCCCCAGCAGGCCCTCGCCTGAGCTAAACATGGTCCACTATTCATGCACTAAGATTATGAACACTACAAGCTATCCCTCGTTAGTTGTCACTAGCAATGCAGGAAAAGAATGGTATCAAGTCCTCAGATTGAGGCCAGCCTGGCTGGGGAAGAATTATGGCCCAGAGAAAAGGTAGTGGCACCCACACATCCTTAATGTTTTGTGACAGTCCTACCTTTTGGGTAACTGACATTTCAGTAATTGTAATTTGTTGAAGACTCTCTGGGGGTTTTCTCATAGGTCCCTCCATCAACTTAAGAGGGTGCCTGTCATTTTCCTTCTCCTCCTTCCCACACCCTTGACTGGCATGTGCTGCCACTGCTCCCTCTGTGAGCACCTGACTGCCTTTGCCAAAGGCCTGCCTCCTAGCACCCTAGAGCGTGTGGCCACCACCTCCATTGTTGGTGCTGCCTTCTGCAGCTTCAGAGCAGTGGGTGCCCACTGTCCCTATTGCCACTTTCCTTGGGGGGCCAAATCTTTCTGGAGCCCCTGCACATGAAATGCTTTAACCTCCACTAGCCCCACTGGGGCTGAGCACTGCCAATGGGCTAGAGCCTTTTACAGAACCAGGCTGTGTTCTTGAGCCCTCAATGAGCAGGTGTTAGTTCCCTGCAAGGTAGGGAGGAGGCCCACCCTCCCTCTGACATGCCTTGTTGTGAAATGGGTGCCATACAGTGCCATCTGGACTTCTTAAATCCCACAATTTTTAGTGAACCTGGCTTTTCCCATTTTCATTTTCATCTCTTCCGTCGTTTGGCCCCAAGCATGAGTGGGAGAAGTCTCTGGGTGAGAGTCCTGCCTAGGGAGCACCATGCTGCTTCCCTTGTAGAAAGGATGCTTTTATGTGGAAACCCAGATCCAGATCCTTGAGATATTCGTGGGGCTCTGTGTTCTCATCCGGGAGCCCTTCAGTGCAGGGAGCTACAGTGGCTGAAGGAAAAGGAGACACTCAGAATCTCCTGGGACATGGAAGGGAAGCTTGGGTAGGGACATTGGCTGCGTAGAACCAGTCGGAAGCAGCATGGCCTACTGGAAGAGTTAGACAGACATGGGCTCAAGTTTCAACTACTAGCCGTGTGTCATGAACATGTTATTTAACCTTTCTATGCTCCATGATTATAAAACCTAACTCACAAGGCTAGTGTGAAGATTAAAAATAACATTGATAAGGTACCTACAGCATAATTGATATTTTTATTTATATTATTTATTATTTATTTTTGAGACGGAGTCTCACTCTGTTGCCCAGGCTTTAGTGTAGTGGCACAATCATAGCTCATTGTAGCTTCTGCCTTTTGGACTCAAGGGATTGTCCTGCCTCAGCCTCCTGAGTAATTGGGACTACAGATGTGCACCACCATGCCCAGCTGATTTTAAATTTTTGTTTTTTGTGGAGACAGAGTCTTACTATGTTGGCTAGGCTGGTCTTGAACTCCCAGAATCAAGTGATCTTCCCATGTCTGCCTCTGAAGGCACTGGGATTAAAGGCATGAGGCATAATGCCAGGTCATGATTGATATTTTTAATGTGCTAGGTATCTAGCATATGATTAATATTTTAAATAAATGTTTCTATTACTTCAGATTTCTTTCTTTCTCATTCAACAAAGACTTTTGGTTATCCACCATGTGCCAAAAGCAACTTGAGATATGAAGAGAAGACCCTCAAGGGCTCACAGTCAAGTAAGGGATACAGGGAAGTAACTCATAATAAATATAAGGTAATGAGGGATAGACCACATTCTGTGAAAGTTCAGAGGAAAGAAAAGAAAACTCTTTAGTGAGGGGAGTTGAAGAAGACTCTGTAGAGGAGTGGACATTTGAGCTAGGTCTTGAAGGATGAATAGGAGCTTGCACAACAAAGATGTCAGAGGACAGGATTTGGGCAAAGGGAATAGCATAGCAAAAGGCATTACTGGGAGTCAGGGATTTGCCAGTGTTGCTGGCAGGTGTGATCTCTTGGATGTCAGTTAAGCAATGAGCATCCTCTGAAGCATATTCTGAGCTCAGAGGTGCAAATTAGAGACCCATGTGCCTGTTTGCTATCAGTGTTTACAAGTTTTTTAATTAGTTACCAACGTCCCATAATTGTAAGAATTCACATAAAGGTCTAGATAGCCTGGTTTTCCTTAAACTGAAAGATCAAACAATCTTGGGCCCACATTTCTGCAGAGTAACATGGTTTGAGCTATCCTAAACTGGCTTGCTTCAGTGATTTGTGCTCCCTGGCCCCAAAGGCATCTGAGTCACTGCCCTGTGTCATGTAGTTCTCTTCCTGGCATGATTTTCCAGAGCAAAGGAGGTTTGTGCTTAAAATCTCTCCCACTTACATCATCTGGGCAGCCTCATACCTATCACCACGGGAACACCAATGGAAACTCTGACTGTGCTTATAGCATGTACAGGCTTCTTGCCCTGGATTTATTCTGACTGTGAAATTTTGAGCTCTGAAAGTTGCGTTTTTCATATCTGTCATATTTAGAGAATTTCTTTCTTATATGAGTCCTCTGATGAACAAGAAGAAATGCGTTTTGTCTAACACATCATTTTCACATGCATTCTGTCATATGGTTTCTGCCACCCCTTGTGGTAGGGCTTTACAAATTCCTGGCATGCATTGATGAGAATAGGCTGCATCTATTTAAAGGGGCAGGATGGGCCAAGCATGAGCTAACTTTCATGTTGTATTCTGAAAAAATAATTGTGGTGGTGGTTGTAGAGTTATAGTATGTATCCATTTCCAAGAGTTTCATATATTCCGGCTGCTAAATAAGTAAAATACATATTTTAATTTTTTTTTAGATGCAGTCTCACTCTGTCTCCCAGGCTGGAGAGCAATGGCATAATCTCGGCTCACTGCAACTTCCACCTCCCATGTTTAAGCAATTCTCATGCCTCAGCCTCCCGAGTAGCTGGTGCACCACCATGCCCAGCTAATTTTTGTATTTTTAGTAGAGACAGGGTTTCACCATGTTGGCCAGGCTGATCTCAAACTCCCGGCCTCAAGTGATCTACCCTCCCCCCGGCTTCTCAGAGTGGTGGGATTACAGGTGTGAGCCACCAGGCCTAGCCTTTATTTATTTATTTTTAATCTTATTGACACTATCTCTTTCTCAAAGCAATTTAAAGTAACCAACAATAAAATATAAGATATAAAAACATGACACTATATAAATGAGGGGTGACGGATGATTTGACAAATATAAGAATCCCTAGCAGACAAAGAGAAACTCATGCTCCTAACCATCTATGGTTTGGCACTGAGGTTAAACTATTTGCCCTGAAACCCAATGAAGCCGTGATCCACATGGCCCCAACTCTGAGAAGCCTTGCCTTAAAAAACTTTTCAACAGAAAGAAAACCAACATAGAAGAAACGAAACTTCATTCTTTACCGTCACTTCTCAAAGGACATAAAAGGGGGACAAATCTTAACACCCATCCTCACCTCTCCTCTGCCCTTTTCTCCTTCCTTTGCTTTTCTCATGCCCTGGTCTCTAATGATTCTTTCCCTATTTGCCTCCTGCCCAGATCCTCTATCTCTCTCTCTCCTGCTCCAGCCTTTACACCCCCAGCTCCATCCAGTTATTTATTGTGCAGATGGTCTTCATTTCTTCATATGATTGACTCACAAACATTTACTAAAGAGTCTTGCAGAGGGAAGATCTTCCTGGAGAAGAAAGGGGCACTGGGCTGGCAATGATCAGACTCTGTTTGGTCCAAGAAAGGGATGTCGTCTGTGAATACTCCCACATTATTGCACCTTATTCTGTCCATTCATCTGGCAAACATTTATTGAATGCCTATTGTGGCCAGGGTCTGTGCTAGGGTCTGGGAAGACAAAGGTGAACCGGGCAGGCCTCTGCAATGCTTCCTATTGATTAGCATGATGGAACGGGGAGAGGAGGGGAAGTAACCTCCACTGCTATAACTCATAGCATCCTCAGTGTTGAAACCTACCAGGTAAATGTGTACAAGGCACTGATGTGAGCTGCCTTCTGATAGGAGCTTTCTCTGCTTGCTGGTTAATGGCCACTTGAAGCAAAGCTCTCCTGACTGCAGGTACGTCACTGGGAGGAGGGCTGGGGCAGAGGTGCCAACA